CAAAGTTGTCTTTTGGTGTGTGAAACATTCTAACCATGAGAGAGAGAGTAATAACATTTATTTATTAAGTTATTATGCAGTTAAGGAAGAACAGTCTAGTAATTCAAGTGACCGGCTGCTGAAATGGATTACTCTGACAGCTGGATGCAGATTATGGTGTGAGTCTAAAGTAACTCTGCAGACTCTGTTTGAGCCTTGACTATGCCAATGTATCAGTCGTATATTTCCATCATGCTCACTATTTTGCAATGTGGTGGCAGCGCTGTGGAATTATTATTGAAAGCTTTCCATACCTTTTCCCCACAGCACTCAGTTCCACAGCCACACTACAAGAGAGCTGAATAAAGATTGATATCTCAGTTGACACATTTGTGGGTTTGGAAATTGAGGAGTGATTGTAGCCCTATGCATAACCACTGACATGAGTATTGAGAGGTTCTCTGAGACTGGGCAGGTGCCATTCATGGGAATTAGGGACTGGTGTGATGTCATCTGTCATCCATACAGATATGCACAAACCTTCAAGTGAGGAAGTTGCCAGTCTCTTTTAAATAAATTTACCGATCCTCCAGGAGCCTTTCCTGTTGCTGGGGGTTTTTCCTGTAGCAGGTTTTGTCATTAAGTTCTTACCTACATGACACAACAAGGGTCTAGTGCAGAGGCTCCAGGCTGTTTGAAGTGACCAGCTCATAGAATCATAGAGTTGTTTAGGTTGGAAAAGATGTTTAAGATCGTGTACAAAAGCAGCACAGATATGCTGTGGTATATGTGTTACAAGCAAGTAGCTGCTTGTGATATTTAGCCCAGTCAGAGTGGTGTGCTAGCATGGCTCATGCCATCCAGTAGCTGAATAAGCTTACAAATCTCTCCATAGCATTGCTTTGCATTACTGCAACCATCTTACATGTGTTCACAAGTCCCCATTTTGGAAAAGAAATGCTACTTATATTTAGGTGCACATGTAGAAAAATACCATCCAAATAGCAAAAAAAAAAAAAAAAAAATTATTTGAAGCATAAAGAAATTTTTTCATTATTATTTTTCAATGAAAATAAAGCTAAATGAAAAAAAGTTTCCATTTCATAATTGTTGTAGCCCAAACAAACATTTTGCTTCATTCTTTTTGGTTGTATGTTCTTTTGGCTTAGTATTCTTTTACATCTTAGAAAACCCAAACAAACAAACAAACCAACCTATTAACTTTAAAATCTAGTATGCCACTTGAAAATAAAAATTAGAACCTTTGTAAGCAAAACAACAACTAAAATTCTTTAAGCTACCCTTGCTTATCTTATGAGTTTCTCTCACTTAATCTGATGGTGAAGTTCAAACTGAATTTGGACCAAACTCTTTCCAGCCTGTATCTTCAAGTCAGTATACTAATATTTCCCCAAAACAAACCCACCAAAAATACAACATCTTTCAGCTATAAACTAGAAATTATAGGTAATGTACACTTATGTGTTATTGCAGAAAGGTTGGATATGTATAGTCTCACAATACAACTATGTGATTTTCATACTGCTGGTATATACTGTGTAGGTGTGCTGACCATACATTATGCTATGTGCCAACAGGCTGATAACATGCTGCTTTCTTTTCATAGGGCAGCAAAAGGTCAGACTCTTTACAAGAATGTTTTCTTGATATTAGCAGCTGCATTTGTCAAAGCTGTTCCTCCTTAATCCTGACAGAGCAGAAATGTTACTAGTGGGTTAAGATTGTTGGTTTGATAGGCTCTGCATGACAACACTGGTGCCCAAGTGAGTAACATTAAGATCTTTATTAGTTAGTTCTTTTCCATGACAGCAATGTATAGTTTGAGGCTTTTTAGTCTATTTATAAATGGTTTTGGTTAAGAAGAAACCTTTTAGTACCTGCAATCAAAATAGATCTCTTTGCAAATACCTGTTCTTTGCTTTGTCATCACGTTTCTGTGGTGGACTATTCGCCTTTCACATGTCTTTCAACATGGTTATCCATAGATTGTTGTCAGTACACACTCATTGGTCTTTTATTGTCTATACCCTGCTTAATCATATTATACTACTTTTTGTCTTGGTTCTCTTGCCAGTAACACCCTAATATTCAAGGTGGGATAAGAATTCATGTATTTCTTTTGCTTTTTGAATGAGAATTTATAAAGAGGGTGAATGTCATCCTAAATCAAATTCCATATGATATCATTTGTCAAATTTCTTAGAATAGCTGGAATTTAAAGTATCTATTTCACCAGCCTTTCAGTATAATTACGGCTCAATGATGTTATTTTCAAATCTAGACTGTAGGTATAAAATATGTGCTTCCCCTTCTTGATTAGAATATATCCTTCATTAAAAGCCACCTCTCTTAATTTTTGAATACATTTTGATGAGAGTTTAGGTTCTTTGCAGGTCTTAGATAGCTGAGGGTGTTCCATGCTAAATCACCTCTCTCCCTAACTAGAAGATGGCAGAATATTTGCAGAATAAAGTTAGTTATGAGGAAGAAATGTGGATGAGGTGGCAGTAATTTTACATTTAAGCACATATCACCTTCTACTGCAAAAAGTGTAACCTCCCTCCCATTCTTTTGTTGGTTTTTTTGTTTTGTTTTTTTTTTTTTGTTTTTTTTTGTTTTTTTTTTTGTTTGTTTGTTTTTTTTTTTTTTTTGTTTTTGTTTTTTTTTTTGGTTTTTTTTTTTTTTTTAAGTGGAAAGATCTTCTACCTCTATATTAATGGGAAAATAAGTAGACAAACCATAAGCTTTAGGGGTTTATTGTGATTTTTCTTTAACCTGATAAATTTTTGTCCTGCCTTAGCTAAGCCGTAAACTTTTAGCACATACATTGTAAATGTCTGCACCCCAGGGCTGTAGCAGGAGCAGCAGCTGCAGCTCTTGAAATGTGTGAAAGACTGAATAGGTCCTGCAGTATCTGTATGGCCAATTTGAAAGACTTAGTGGTGACAGACCTTTTCCTTTTCCCACCATACCACCAGCTGTTGACATCTCCACCCTCCTATTCCCTCCTTAGAGTCAGGTGAAGGAAGTTCCCTTCATCTCCAACCTATTGCTGGTGAAAGCAGAAAGAGCCAGATCAGATTACTTCCCAGGTAGCCGCAACATTTATTTATTTTAGGCATGGCCTTGAGTTATGTGATCATGCTTTACACTCCCTAAATTGATCGCCTTGGCCAATGACTGAATCGAATGCAAAGGGAAGAATTATTTTATATGGGTAATTGTGGGTTGGATTTTTTTTAACTTAATACTCAACCCTTAACTTAAATATTTTCTATTATAATTAATTACATTTCATGCACATAAATTTTCTATATAATACAATGATGATTATTATAGGACTTTTAACTGAATCAGAGTATCTGTGAAATTCAGTTTGTTCGTTTGCATTCACAATGTCTCTGGGAGGGAGGGTAGTGTAAGTGTAGAGTCTCTGAGATTGTATAGATAACATGTAATACAGACTTCAGGGAAAACTTTGCTCATGATAACTTCGGTAAGTTTGAATGTTGGAAATTTTTATGTGAATGTGTATATGTGTGCATAAAGGTGTGCAAATATATTTACAGAAAGACACATGGAATAAGATGTGACCAGTCCCTATAAGTATTTGATTAAGCTGATAAAAGGCATGAATGAATTATTCTGTGTATATAATTAGTAAATGACTAATTGGTTGCTTTAAGTTGTTCAAAAATTATGAGGTGTTTCTAAATCTCTGAATGTATTGAATTTAAACCCGTATCAACTTCTGACCTCACATACCAGTTAAATCATAATTTTATTGCTATAGAATATTGAGATTCCTGAAAAAAAGTCTTTTTATTGTCTATAGCATTTCTTTCAGGCTTGCAAACAATCAAAAAATCTCAAGAGAATTCATTAAATCATTGAGAATTATAGGAATAAATTTTTGCTCTTGCTTTTAACCTCTTCATCCATACAACCAGGAGTACCCATGTTTTATTTACAGGCTGGTAAATAATTTACATTTTGTTTAATCTGAGTGCTTATTTAAAGTAAAATTAAAATGGCATGAAAGGACCATGCATCTCCTAGATACGAGCATCATTCTTATATAATAAAATGCTAACCCAGATTTCTGGAAACTAGCATTTTGAAGCCTGGTTCTGTAGGTTTCCTGTGTGTATACAGACAATTCACTTGATATTTATGCTCCCAAATTCTTGTTGAAAAAAAAAAAACAAACCAAACCAAAACAAACCAAAACCTTTCATTCTCTGTCTTTATCTTGTTTACTAGGCTATTAAATACTTTGGTCTGGACTGTGAGCTGTGAGGGGCGTTCCTAAAATGTATGACTGCTTATGTTTTTAGAACTGAGTGACTAATATTTCAAATAACACTATTTTCAAATAGTAAATGCAATGTGTATTTCTGATGACCGCTTTTCACAGAAAAAGTTTGTTTGTTTTAAAAATATCAACATCTTAATGTTAGCATTTCCTAAATAAAATCCATCTGGAAAATGTCCTGGTATTTGACAGTTTTGAAAAGAATTGTTTTAAAATTATAGTTTAAATTACAAAACAAAATTCATGAAAATAAATGTTACAAAGTAAAAATAAAAGTTAAAACTTTTTTTCTGAAAAAACAGTAAAATTGAAAGAACTTTTTATTATTGAGGTGGTTTATTTTATACTTATATATGTCAGTTGTTAATTCAAAGAAATTTGAGGTGCTTTCCTGGATTTTTACTTTATACAAAAGCTATTTAAAAATCTTTTTTGTTTTGTCATTGATCTGGAAGGATTAAACTTTTTTTCATTTTTAAGCAGATGTAAAATCCACTGAGAATATTCTATTTTTTCCTTCTATTTCTTCTGTCTTAGCACAGTGCATTTTCAGTCAGTAAGAGTCCCCTTGATTGATTTGATTTTAGCCCAGTGTTTTATATGTAATGCTGTTTTGCTTCAATATTATTACATTTTTTTTCTTTTTTTTCTCTCTTCTTTTTTGTTTTTTTTTCCTTCTTGGAAGACGAAGGGTGCTAGCTATATCTGATGGAATTGAACATATTGGGAATCTTCGCTGGGAACTTGCACTGTGCCTCCTTGCTGCTTGGACTATCTGCTATTTTTGCATATGGAAAGGAACAAAGTCTACTGGAAAGGTGAGGTTAAAATTCTCTGTATCAGCTATGTTATGACTTGCTTGTGCTTCAAACCTGTGTTGTCATTTATATTTATTTAAATCAGAACGGTAGAATTTCACATGCATCTTGCATCACTGTAAGTAACTATACTTGGGGGTATATAAATTATAATACAAGGTAACTAAGAATCAGTCATATTTTGCATTGTTTTGTTCTTCTTGGTTTTTATTATTTGCTTTTTCCCTAATTTTATCAGATGAGGCTGGTTGTTTTTGGTTTTCTTTGGTTTTGTTAGTTTAGCAGACTATACTACTGGCCAATCCTTGAACTCTGAAATCAATACTGGGTTGTATTGATTTCTGTGCATGAGGTATCCAAAATTTGAATTTTGTCTCAAACCGATGGGAGTTGAAACTCTCAGTAACACAAGTAAATTCCACACATAAGCAGAGAGTTTAGAAATATAAGTAACCTACAACAAGTGCAAATGGAACACCAAAAGTGCAGAAATAATGCAAAAAACTCAGAGATAAAGATGGATGTATTAGGGGAAAAAAATAAAAAGCTGCTCATGTAACTTTTTGAGTGAATATCATTCCATACTGGACACCCAACAGAGAGACATTACTTCACAGCCTGAGTCATGGGATGGTAGAGAGGTTGCCCCTGGAGTAGTAGCAGATGTAGTTCTGATTAGAATATATGATTAATCAACTAAAGAGAGAGAGGAAAAAAACCATAATTCTGGAGTGACCATTCTTAAAAAAACCACTGGTTTATAATGTTGGAACCAAGGAATACAAGGAAACAAAATGGTGGAATGAAGCATTTTTTGTATTCATTTTTCAATTGTTTATTACTTAGTTTTGAAGTGTGGTTGGATTATTTTCTTTGTGCCTGTTCTAGTAGCCTATATTTATAAAAGAAATGTTTGAAATGTAGAGTGTTTTTTTTTAATTTAGAAAATGTCAGAGTGAAATTTTTCAGCTTTCTCAATCACACACATCCTTCTTCCTATCAAAATTTTGGCTGAAAATATTTGCTGAATTCTCTCCGTAGTTGACAACTGTGTCAGTCAATCTGGTACTGCATTTTCCATCGAAGTATTTGCACGCACAGATTTATGCAGCCCTACTTTTACCAAGTCACTGCAGGAAAAATGCTGAGAAAGACTGCCTGGGGATACATATAAACACGAATAGTTTGGAGGAAAAAGGGGAAAAAACCTAAAGAGAAAAATGTAGAGAACCAAAGGTGATATAAGGGAATGACAAGATAAACGTCCACATGTCTTTGAAGCATGCACTCCAGGGAGGCACAAAAGTGGTTTAAAGTTGTCTGAGGAGCTACAGCAGGCAGTGAAGAAATGAAACTGAGCAAAACTAATTTTCCATCAGAAAGAATGTCTGAAGATGGGGATCTATTCTACCATAGTATAATCTGCCCCAAGGGTGGAGGTGAATGCGCATGCATGCATGCAAGGCTGTGCAAAACTGCACTGTACTTAAGAAAAATAGCATTGGTAGAAATAATTTGATGATAGGGAGAGACTCTAGTGATTTTGAAAAGGATATATTTTACGTTTCTGCATTTCTGTGATTTACATTCAGATTTTTATTGGTCTTCATAGATATATCACACAAGATTCTTTCAGTTTATGCCATTTCCCAGAAAAAGATTTTGCATTTTGGAAGTAATTAAAGTGAAACAGACTTTTTTTTTTTTTTTTTTTTTCCTGTCTGATAACTTAGCTAAAATGTCAGCTTACTGGTAGGTGGAATAATTTTTATTTTATTTCAGTGTGATTATGATAACCATGTTTCTGATGAGGTTAGGTGAAACAGCCTGAGAAAGAGACATGTCTTGCCAACTTGAAATGGGATGATAAGCTTTTCAACTAAGGAGAAACAACTGACCTTCTTGTAACAGAAGTGCAAAAAAAATTGAATTAATATCCAGTATTCAGCTTTATAGTTCTCAGGCTTAAAAAAAAACTAGGTCAGGGACCTGTAAGAAGTAGACTCATCATATATTTACACTATTTAGATCAGTATATCACAAGCAGCAGTTCTGTTTCCAAAATCAAGAGGAAGCAGACTGGTAGATTCCTGTGGTACTCAGCAGTCTGCCTATGCAGAGGATCCATTGCTTCTCAAGAAACATGCAGATCCTTCACAGCCAATATTGATAATTTCTTTTTCCAGTTCTGTTCCTGTAATTAGTAAGAAAACCATTTTACTAGATGAATGTGTGACACTGCAATTCGTTTCCAGTGGTACGATTTTTTTTCCCCAGACATAAGTTCACCTTTTAGATGTATTTACAAATTTTAATATTCTTACATTTACCATATATTACAGTCAAAGCCACTGGAATTCTGTGCCACCTTATTGCCTTCCCAGGCCTGCTAAACAAAGACATAACAGTCAGTTCCTGTGGATGTTACAAAGGAAAGAAATGCTCTGGAATAAAGGTGACAGAGCAGTCTTCTGGGCTTTAGTTTCCATTTCTGATATATTGGCATCTGAAAGTTCATATTTAGACTCATCCAATCACAGTCCTTCACACTAGGTTGAATTTATTATAAACGTATTTCCAGGAAACATTTAAAATCAACTTCTAGATTTTTATCATAATATTAAAAGTATTTTTAGTCTAGCCTGTTAAATTCACTATAGGCTTTAATTTGAAGGACTAATTTCAATGAAATAATACATTCATTCAAAGCAGAAAACTTAACATTTTATCACCTTTGGAAACATTTTCAAAGGAAGGTGTCTGTGGGACAGAATAGCTAGAGAGAAAGAGAACAGGGGAAATGGAGACAAAATGAAGAAGGGGAGAGACTTACCTTCTTCATACAGCTGTGTTTTGTGAAATATTCAAGAGATTGGTTTACTCTTTTCCATGTTTTACTCTTCATCCGAATGCATGGTGAAAATAAAATCCAAGCCTTAAAACCTGTCACAAAATAAAACCATCATTCTTCAACTAGCACTACCACAGAACTCATCTACTCAGATGATGAATATTTAATATTTGAAGATATTACATATATTAAATATAACATAAAGCTTAACTCGAAATGAAGTGCTTGTCAGACTGTTAATGAGATGTTTCAAACTTTTCCATTACTGTTCTTGAAAGTCATCACACTCTCACAAAACATTTTAGTTTTCCATTCCAACAGATGTGTAATATGAAAATAATTTCAGGTGGTTCTGGCGGCTTTCAGGAGAAATGTATTTGTGCTTTTTCTGGGGTTCTTGCCATTAGTTAATCAGTGTTAGATCTGAAGTTATTTGTACGCTAGCTTTCACATTTAAAATGTTGCATATGTACTAAATGCAGGGTCTTTGAATGAGAAACTCAAAATCAAAAGGAGAAAAATATGACTATGTAGTGTTATCACAATGTTATGTGTATATTACAACTTGTTGAGCTTGGTAATACATGATATCCATCTTATGCAGAAGTATTTTCAGTAGCTAGCATCAAATGCTTCCAAAGATGAGGTAAGAATTATGTAGGAGGATGAAGAATGTTAATTTTCTAAAAACTTATTGTTAGGGGTTGGTTTAGTATCTTATTTTTCCAAAATATTTTTGATTACTAATTATGAAATTCTGAGTATTTCTATAATGCAAATACTTACATAGTTGCTGAGTCTTGATAATTTTTGATCTTTGTATAACATTCATGCAATCTTAAGGTACCAGGGAACCAGTTCTTTTTTGGATCTTGACTATCTATTCATTAATTTGACTAAATGTCCTCGTGCTTTAAACTCTGAGAAAGGGACACCAGAAATTCCTAATCTGTTTTTCCTAAACTGCTTGCTGAAGGAAGTAATCCTAATAGTTTCCTTTTTTTTTAAAATGAGAGTATGGGAGATTTTTCAGATAGTAATGACTCTGAGCTCATCAGTGACTCCTCACTTGTAGCAGCTTCTGCAAATTCCTTCTGAAGTGAGGAGGCTGGTAGACTTTAAGTTATATAAAGGCATTTTAGTAGTCTCTGTCTTATTCATCAATCCATTGCTTTTCTGTTCAAGTCTCTTGCTTACATTTTGAATGTACCAACACATCCCTGTCTATTGCTGGTATTGTTAGTTTGGATCCCTCTCAGGTATTTAGAGATTTATATCATGGATTTATAGAATCATTAAATTGTACAGGTTGGAAGGGATCTTGGGAAGTCTCTAGTCCAGCTTCTTGGTCAAAGAATGATCAACACTGAACTCAGAACAATTTTCTTAGTGTGTTGACTGGTGGCATCTTAAAAACTTTCAAGGACAGAGATTTCACATGTCTTGGGGCAACCTATTCCAATACTGAATTGTCCTCAGAATATGAATCATTTATTAATTACTTTTTTCATACATGTAGGTTCATTCCAATATTTAATAATTTTACTGAATTATAGGGGTTTTTTTTTGCTAAGTTTGTTATATTTGTCATCCACTCCTGATTAAAACACATTTTTATTTCCTCTGTGTTACTACGTAGTATAGATTTGAGTGCCTGCAATTATTCATGCACACAAAATTACTTGAAAATACTTCTATATTAATAAGCTAATATCTGGATTAGAGTGTGTTAACTTCATGCTGTCTCTCCACTTGATATGCTTTAAAACTACAACAGAAAGAGAGGCTAAAGAAAATAGAGGTTGTTACTGAAAGATAAGGTCAGAAGTGTTGCCTTGACTTGACACAAGAACATGCAGAAGGCATCGACTGTTTCACAGGTACCAAGTGTATACAAAACAATCTAGAGGAGTAGGCCCAGAGCTAAGAGGCTGATCCATGTAAAAAGCTGCGGATGTAGTGTTAAAACAAATTTGCTTGTTTTTTTCAGATCATAATCAACTTTTAAAATGTCTTGCATACTGTCTCATGAAGCTTTGACTTGAAAATATGCTAGAAAACATTAATATGGTTCTGTTTATCACCTGCTACCCCCTTTTCACTCTGTAGGTACTATATTACCCATAGCATAGAAAGCATTGCTGAAACA